AGAAATAATATATTCAGTGAAGTACAGATTATACGTTTTATAATTTTGAATTAAGGTTTATGTAATACGAAATTTTAAAGTGTTTAAAATACTTTCTTGTAGAAGCGTGACTTAAATCTTAATACCACTTAAGTCATTATTTATTTCCTCGATAAATCAGTCTTTAGTATTTGTAAAATATTCATACATTTCATGTTTATGACTAAAATATTGCATATAATATTTATAAAATATAATAAATATTATACAAGTATATAAAATAATATAAAATTAATAGTTTTATTCGTTCGAATTTTAACACTTGATAAAATTACTTACAAAAAGTTAGTACATTTAGCATAAGATTTTTTTTCATTAAACAAAAATAATAAATACACAAAATATTATTAAAGAACGATTTATAAAATAGAGATTTTCAAATTGGGAATCACGTTCCCCTTCGAGGTCGCTAATACATAAAATAACTAGTAATATGTTTTTGTAAATATCATCATCATAATAATTGTTTAGAATTAAGATCGATAAAAGTTTACGATGGCAAATGAAAACGTTATGTTAATTATATTAATAATATTCATTTATCATTATTTTTATTATTATCATAGTAAAAGTGTCGCTAAAAACTTGGTGTATTATATGGGGTCACGGCCTCAAAAATATTGAGAATTGCTGTTTCAAAACATTTATTTTTAGTTGAAATAAAACTTTTTGCACATATTTATGTGCAAAAATATTATAAATATTTATATTTATATTAACAGTAAATGTAAATGTATTTACTAATAATCAAATAATTTATATGTAATATATTAATTAAAATTCATTTTTTACTAATTTTTGGTCTAAATGTCGGAAAATATGTGTTTACCGAAAATAAAACTTTTCTATTTCACACTTTAAACACAAAATAATTTATTTTCTTAAAGCTACATACATATATATATATATATATATATATATATATATAAAATCTACAATATTAAAACACTTTAAGCCTTTTTTACACTTTATTTGCATAATGAATTCGTCTAGTTTTTATGTGCCTATAGAGAAACAATCAATTATTTGATAAAAATAAAGTCTTAGTAATAACATGTAATACAAATAACGAGAATAGAAAACATTGAAAGTTGACAAGTTGATTTCACTTTTAATATTACTTTTAATCGGTTACATGGTATATTAATCACGGCCCGAACAAATGCAGTGAAGTCCAACGATGCGTGATATTATGCAGTGAGTCGTGGGTAAAACTGATTAGGTTGACAATTATAGTAAAATAATAATAGACAAATAATATATGTTTAAGTTATACATACTTACTATACCTGTTTCACATTAAGATACAACGCCCATTTTATTTAGCGTGGATAAGCTTTCATATTTATGTCGACGATCAAATATAGCCTATTAATTATATTTTAATTAAACTTTCATACCGTAAACGCTAAACATCATGTATCGAGAACAATGTATACGTAACCGATCTTGAATCCGAATAGATTTTAATTATTATTTATTATTAATCAGATACGGTTAAATAGATAAGGGTAATGTGAAAATATTTTTTAAAGGAGCCATATTGAAAAAAAAAAAAAAATTGATAAGCTTGTTTTTCATTAAATGAATAAATTATAAATTGTGTATGTATGCATTATTCTATGATCAAGTTTGACGAAATCATAATTAGTCTGCAAATAAGTCGAGCATAAGATCAATTTATATTTTTGATCCTCAATTATTACAATAGTAGTTTTTAAATCATAAGCAACAAAAAAGTATTGTAATCATAAGCATAACGATCTCGAATTGCATTGCTACTAACGCCTTAAATGGAATGAAACGGAGGAGTAAGTTTTAGTTTAGAGTTAATTTAGAAACTTATGGTCGTGATCTGGAAAATGCGTAGGGACGCTTTTATTTTGAAAATATTCTTAGTACATGGTTTGACTGATTTAAATTATACATTTAAATACTGAAAAAAAATATAGATTGAATATAAAGAATAAATGTTAAATTAATTTGAACATTAATAAAACCATATCCTTTAATATAAAATGTTTGATTGTTATTCAATTATATTTTATGTATTTTATTTGAAGTTTTATTTATAAAACTCACGAATCCTGTAAAACTCATTTACCTATATTGGTTGTTTACTAGCTTTTCAAAGGTTTCAGCAATCAACGGTAATGGTTACACATAGATAACTAAAATAAACAATAATTCAATTTAGAAGGATATTTTGATTTAATTAAATAGTTATAACAGTTTTCGAGCACTAAAGATCCCAAAAAAAATCTATAACACCTATATAATATACATAATTTGTTACTTACATACTCTTATGTATTATAAATCGAGTACCAGCGAATTATAAAAAACAACACTATTTAATATTGACGTTAATTTAAAATTATTTATCATTACGAAACCATTAAAGATTACCCGACTATACAGTGAGGTGGATGACGGCCGGTGGATCTAAAAAATGTTAAATACGGATCGATTTCTTAAAATTGCAATATCACTAGCTGAATTACTCGACTTTTTCCGAGTGAAAAATATTTGTGTAACAGCATACACCTCCCTACGTATTTACTCGTCGAAATCCCATTAGGGACTCGTTATAATGTCCGAGACATAACGTCCTCGTTCTCGTCCCCATCTCCAAATCCGTTTATAATATCTTACTAATTTCCACGTTTATATATATATATATATATATATCAATTGTAATAAAAATGTTCTGCCAAACACTAATTTTTTCTGTAACCAATGACAATCCTATACAAATAAAAATTTTTCGAAATTTCCGTTAGGCAAAAAACCCCAATGCTAACGTATATTTAAAATCAAATAATTTAATAAAAAGATAGCTTATGTGTATATCTCCTGGGGTTGCCGCTTAATATAATCACAGTTAATGTTATCAATCCTTTATTTTTATCAAATAGAGGCAATAAAGCTGGAGGTATATTTATATGTGTAAATTATGTCAGGTTTTTTAATCAATACGTCGCATAATGTTATCAGTTTGAGGTATTTTGAGGAAATTCCATCAATGATCTTTTAACGAAAAAAAAAAAAGTCATCAATAAAAAAATATTTTTCAAGTTAGTTGTAGTAAATATGTATACATATATTACATATGTATTTACATTTTACATTTTATTTTTTTTTTTTAAACAATTTTAAATTTTGTGTATCTATAAAATTTAAATATTAATAATAAATTATAAATGATATATTACATAATATTTTTTAATAATTATGTATGTATTAAATTGAATGCAACATAATATTATTATTTTTTGATTTATCATATGTTTTATTATATTTTTAATTTTCGTTTTGTGTTATCAATCAGATTATGTTATCAGTTATTTGCCGTATCAAAGTGATTACATTTAGTAGCGACCACTGTATTTTGAAATTTGAGTGATAGCTATTCCATTGAGTTTCACTCGAATCTTACCTTATATTTGCAAAGTTATTATGTAAGATATTGAAAAAATAAAAAGCTAAAAACCATCGAATTGATGGAGAATTGTCTACACAACAAAGCAAAAAGTCAATAAAATTGGTCACGTAGTATTTGAGATTAGCCATTTCAAAGAAAGTAGTTTCACGTTTATATAGTTAGACTGTACATATTATATTGTATTATGATTAATTGACTGAAAAGAAATGTTAGTAACGACGCGTGAAAATTAAAATAAAAAAACAAAACAGAATCCACGTGGAGCTTGTCAAAACGTACCTATACTATGATATTGAACTGGTCTATGTTTTTATTATTATTTTTTTTTTTAAACGCGTGTTTAATCAAAACCTTATTGAACGCGACCGTGACGGTTCAATTACTATGGTTATAAGATTATTTGTTAAATCCTCTCTTCGGTGATTATTCGGAAGCGCGTTGATGAAGATCTACGTACATATGTATCACGACATTTTTGCGTGGTACGAAATCTGGATAAAAATTACCGTCGGAAATATTATCGCTGGGACGCAAAAACACATCACGGTTAAACCAATACGTTAGTCCCTTATAATCGGAACCGAAATCAATTCGCATAAGCTCTCGCACGTGGTAGTCGTGCCAGATCGTGCACCGTAATCGCATTTTGCATCGTAAGCCGATGCACCCGTAAAAATATAGCATTGCAATTAACATCCACTGATCGACACACAACCGCAGTAGCACATGATAACTACTGATAATATTTCCATTATTAGGGAATATCGTAACTGTTAGACAAAGCCCTAACTAGGGTGAAGCGAGCGAGGCACTTGCACAAAAAATGGCTCGTTACGGTTCTGCAGTTCGATCGTATAATTTATAACCGTGTACGGCCCCATATAAGCAAAACTACGATTATTCGCGATGTAATATCGACACGATGCCAGAGGTGCCGAAACCGAAAAATTCAGACAGGGCATACTTATAAGGTTACGAGAAACCGCACCAATCCACGGCTGGACTAAGAACGTCATTATGATTGTCAGACACGGAAAATATAAATGAACAAATAAGACACGTAATTCAAACCATAAGACTGATGATAAACACAATCGTGTTTGTTTACAATTCACTGAAAGAAAAGGCTTGCCGACCCACGAAAATCACACGAGGCAGGGTAAGGTTCGGCAACGTTTTCGTAGGAAAGATCAATATTTTTTGTTCCTTTTGAAAACGTCACTCGGTGTGCGGAAATAAATGACTTTTTTTTCTTTCTCTAGAGCCGTACGTGCGATCGAAATCGCCGGCGGCCCAGCCCTGAGGTACGTGTACGTACAACGGGTCTCGCGAATAAGGTTCGGACGGCGTTCGGAACGTTCGAATGTTCGGCGCACCGACGCACAAGCGTAGCCGAGCGTACCGGCCGTGCGGGCAGACGAAACGCGGTGAAAGGACGACCGGCCCCGGTGTCGTTACCGCCACCACGGTACTGGCCACGCTGACCCGACAACAACGACGTCGACCGGGTTGCCGAAGACCGACGGTGCATCCCAACGTTCCTCCTGCGCGTCAGTGCCAGTGCAGCGCGTGTCGCGTTATCGTGCCCGCAATCGAAACCCGTTGCCTGCGAGTGCGACCTACCGCCGACCGACCGTCCGACCGATCGAACCGACCGTGTGCGATCGCGTTTTCGCCGGAGCTCGCGCAACACCTTTGCCCGACCGGCGAAACCGTCCGCGCCATGAGGATCTTGCCGTTCGTTTTCCTCCTGCTCATGGGTGAGTTTTCGAATCGAACAACGGGGAGCTGTGGCGGGAGGGGGTGTTGGAAAAACTCGTGAGGTAACGTAAGGAAACGTTTTGAACAGAATAACGAAGGTGGACATTGGATTCGTACGAAAACACCGAAAAAATTAACACACATATTCCGGTTTGATGTTAACGACCCGATTCGTAAAAGCAATGTAACTGTAAATTATTTTAATGACAATAGTAGCACCGATAATAGTCTTCACGCAGTAAACCGTCAGGTCTTACGAAACTGGGTGCACGGTCGAATCCGAGGAGATGGCGGTTTTTATTCGTATTTTCGATCGGTAAAATGTCATGGAAATACGTCGGGACGTTATATCGACGTCTAATATTAAGGACGAATAAATCGAGTCACCACGAGTCGTCCGTTGGTCTGGAACAGTATCTATTGTGAAATTTCAATCTATACCTTGTACTTCGTAACGCATAATTAAAATTATATTTATATCATCTATCGCGTAGCAATGCGGTAAAAACACGTTTTTTCAAAAATAAAATATACTTAATCGAACTTCTATTGTATCCATTATACATCAACAAAACAATTTTCCATAGTAGTTATTTACCAGGTAAAGTATTTAAGTGTACTCATACTAATAATTGCCGTTTATATTATTTCATAGGGATCTGTATTGTTAGAAAATTTTGAATATAAAATATTTTGTTATGTAAATCACTAATAAAATACTGTTATGTAGAATTAGGTCTACATTAATCATTTACCTGTTTCGGCTTGTATTTTAATGATGAACAATTAGCATATTATTATTATAACAGCATAGCATAATAACTAAAACGGTATAATAATAAACGGTACACAATGAAATGTGTGAAATACTAAAATCTTAATTGTTTGTTATATTTTCAAAACTGACTTAGAAAATAATCAGTGAATAAAATTATAATTGTAACGTTGAAAAATTTATTATTCTTCATAATAATAGATACATTTCATAAAGATAAAATCTAAAATATTATTTTTAATATGCAAATATTATGTATAGTATAATATGTTAATCATGAATTAATATTTTTAATTGCAAATATTTAATTTTTTATTCCATAAATACATAAAAACAGTTTTAGAATTCTACGCAGTAAAATTTGATTTGATTGGCATTTTATTTATTATTGTAAAACCTATACTGCAGTTGATGTTTATAGTTTGCTCTGTGCAAATTGACAATAGTCAGTTGATAGAAATAATAAAATATTAATAGATACTAGATACTAATGAATTAATATTTTTAGTAAATTAAGATACATTATTGCCAAATCTATTTTTGATTACAATTAAATCAACCAAGGATCTTAAAAGTGAATAAGTTGATTTATAATTTATTGTATAAAATGTAAAAAAAAAAAAAAAATACAGTTAAATAATCATTTTGTGATGATTTATCCTTTTAGAAAAAGAAATATGAATAAGTATGAGAAAGGTAAAGGAAAAGAAAAAGAAAAATAAAAATATGTACCATCATTTTATCGTTAAAATGTTCAGTTTTTATCAGTGTTGTCTTATGCATTATAAAGTCTCCATAAAAAGAAAAAAAATATATATATATATACAATTATTTTCAATTTTGGGTTAATTTATGGATACTTACATGTCATTCCCACTTAGAAAAAAATAAGAAAGTTAGTATCGATTAACTTTTTGAAAAGTTATTTGTTCATTTTAACAAAAATGAAGTTTTAGGGAGTACTTAAATCGATTAATTTAATTATACATCAAATTTAGAAAATTTGCTTGTGATTATATGTATAAAATTGTAAAGAATACTTTTTATAATTTTTAGTTGTATAAATATCTGTATACTAGAGACAAGACGGTATGTGTTTATTATTCGAAAGTAGGTAAACGAATAAATATAAACATAAACAATTTCTTTATAATTTTTTTTACAAAATGGTTGCAAAAGTATAATTTACGGTTATTTTATTTCATTTACGAATTGTTTAATGTAATTGCGTGAGTATATGTGCATATATACTTTGACGGATTTTTATTTTGTTTAATTTTTTTTCCCAATAGTTAAATTCTACAAATCATGTACAAAACAACCGTTGCGTGCGTGTTTAACTTACTTCTATATAAAATTAAGATTGAAGTCATCATATAAGATCCGCAGCTTTGTGTCTATTGCGTTTATTCCAAATTATAATCAAATAATGTTATAAGTAAATTTATAATTGTCTTTTTTTTACTTTTGTTTGTGCATCTTTCCAATTCATACTTGGTAATAGTGCTACCTACGGCGTCTGAAACAATCGGTCCGGGAAACGTTGAAATCACTACCGTTTGATGTCACCGGTATAATCATAATAGAACTCATCGCTAATGATTACCATACAGTAATGCATAGTTTTTAATGTGCTACCTCAAGAGAATAGCTGAAATCAAACCTTATTGTTGTTACTTTTACTCACTCCGAATCGATTTACCGTCGTAAAATATTCAATACGAAGTGTGAACAATAATTATTAGAAAACGTCGTTTTACAAAGGAGTAACGTAATAGTCTCAACCACGGGTACCCGACCGGGAATCGATCGATATAAACTAGTGCACTCTGATAGCAGGCACATTAGGATGTTGGATATGTTCAGAGTCGGTGAGAGGGTGGGGCAGGGAGGGACCCGTACGTCTGAGAGGTCCCATCGTCTTAGCCTTTTATACAATATTTTTATTGAACTAAGATATGTACAAGTAGTATGAATATCTAAGTCAAACAAGTGCAAGTAAAGGGGGCCCCGGAGCCCTCAAATTTTTCTCCGGCCCTGGATATGTTAATAATTTCAGATTATACAGTTTCCGTATTTATTTACGGCTGGAACCCGATTGACCACGGTTGCGATCAAACAATAGGAACGCGAAAAAATCCCAAAAAACAACACAATTGAGCATTCAAATAGGTGCGACGTTGCCACTTAGTACTGAAGAATATTATTAATATTAAAAAATTGAATATAATTAAAAATTTGAATATAAAAATTTAAAAATTTAAATCTATTATTGATTTTTTCTCGAGCAAATTTTCTAACCCTGCACTTGAAATTTGCCAACTCTTTGTCTTTCTCGAATAAAATCATTTGTATTTCATTATTTTCCATCATAAAATTGTAAAATTTGCAAAATGCATATTAATTTGAAAGAAACACAAGCACGAGACAACAATAGAACAGACTGACTATGACCAAGTTTTTTTTTAATATCATAGATACTTACAATAACAGTTAATCATAATTTAGTGCAACCATTGTTGATAAAATTCTAGTTTCCTATCTATCCCAGCTATTTACAACTTCCGTGGGTACCTATCAATCAAAACCAAAATATTTTTTAACTAATATGTCAGTTACCTACTAGTTATCAACGCAACATACGTCCTAGTGAAAATCTGATAATGTTGTACACAATATTTGTTTTTTTTTTTTTATCCTGCTCAATCGGTCATCAAAATAAACTAAAGGTAAAATAAACCCGTGCTCAATCGGGTATCACCGTTATTTACGTATTTATATGGGTATAAGGTGAGACGAAAAACCGGTTTTGTTTTCAACCATTTCTATGTGTGTTACTCTGTGCGGATTTTACTCAAAAGAAACTTGAATAACAGCAATAATAATGATATAAATCTAATAATCAACAATTGAACTGAAAAAAATCTAAATAGAATTATTTGAAAATAGTATATATACATATATATATATATATATATATATACACAAACGTACACACGTGAGAAGTAATAAAACTAGTTGATGGTCATGTCTGAATCACGTGCTCCCTGTGCACAACGTGATCATAATCGAGTTCAAAGATTTTACAACTGTTATAAATGTTTAATATTTTTGACGATTTCCAATTGTGAAAGTGTCACCGGAGGTACTACCGATTTGACGAAGACGCTCGCGTATGTACATTACACGCGCTAGACAAGGAAACAAAATTTCGATTTCGAACTGACATTTTTTTCTATGAAATAATTATACTGTATGTCCATTAGTTTAATAATAGCGAATCGATAAATAAGTTATATGCAGGTATTTTTTTATTTATTTATCCATTACGACAAAAATAAAATAGAAATTTGTATTTCAGAACATTTTTAACAGCAGAATCGTATAAAATGTGCTTTTGGATAAATTTGCCAGTCGGAGGTAAAAATGGAAACACGTTAAATCGAATTTTAAAAATAAATTGAATTGTACACGATTTGAACGGCAACGTATTTTTTCGTCTCAACGATTTTCTTTAGCCTCGGTCCATCTTGCAGTCGGTAAAAAGAGAAAAAATATAGTTAGCGTATTTTTATTTCTTTATTTCGGAAATTCAATACACCGCACCCGCTAAGAATCTAAAACCACTGGCCTGGATATACTCGTACTATCTTTGTGTCACTTTACGCTATAATAATTCTCGAGCCCAGTAATTTGTTTAAAGTTTAAACATTGAAATTGGTGAATAAATAACAAAAGACCTTGTTAATTGATTTTGCATTTCGGTTGTCATTACAGTATGTCGTCCGGGTGACTTCACTTATATTTATGGTTATTTTTAGTTTATGTATTCGGGACGTGCTAGTTAACTCATTTTCCGACACTAAATTTCCATTGATTGTGTTTGTTTATAAATTTGAATGTAATTTTATTTAACGTATTTGATTCTCGCGAAATGTTCTGTAACAATAACGATGCCCAGGAGGATGTATTTACTTAATTACTGTACAGTATCTGCCATTGAGTTGGTATTTGCTTTAATTCAATTGGTCGAGACAGACCACAGACGAATGTCATATAGTATTGTATTGCATGAACCTAAAAGGTCTCCTGAAAAATATTAATATCTGGACATAACTTTGAAACTACACAAAGTATTGATTAAACGTATAAGTGTGTAATAAATCAAAATTACACTTATATAACAAATAGTTTAATATGTCCAAAAATAATATAGCTACAGTA